TCACTCCCCGCCTAACACGAGGAACCTAAAGTGACTGCTGGCATCCAGGAGATGTGTACAGGCCCCAGGCTCCGCTGACCTCCTGGGCTGATCCCCGCCAAATCCCCAAAACAGAGACCTTGACCAGGGCCTTTCACGATTAGTCCTCCCCAGCTCCCTGCTGTCCCGAGGATGGTTGTTTGAAGTCAGCACCATCACCACTGGGAGAGGACAGAGGGAGCCTTGCCTCCTGAACCCCGCCTCCTGGTCAACACAGGAGAGAGACTTTGCCTTGTCCTAGCCTTGTTTGCCGTTCTTATATTCCTGCCATCCCCAAGCACTCTCTTTCCAAGCAGGAAGTGTGTGGAAGGCTGCAAAGACAATGACCTCCTGGATCTCTTTCCCTTGTGAGGATAGCATAGAAAAGAGGACTTGGCTCCTCAGCGCTCTCCCTCTGTATTCCTGCCTTACCTTTGATGCCTGCTTCACCTACGGTACTCTTGGGCTGTTGTACACTGCCCCTGCATTGTCAGTGCCAGGTCAGGATGGAGCAACCTACTTAATCTTTCCTCTTGTTGACAGACGCATGCCCAGGACCCACTGGAACGGGGTGAGGGGTGTGCCACCACAAGGACTGACCTAGAGGTGCAAGGCAATGCTCCCCCAACCCCTCAAAGAATAGGCAGAGCCTGGGTACCCTCACTCAATGGGCCCCTAATGCCTGCTACCAGGGAGGTGGTATCGGGACTCTACCCCCTCACCGCCCCTTGCAATCCTGATCATAGCTTGTGCCCCAGGACCCATGAAAAGGATGGGTCAAGACCTTTAAAGACAAACCTTAGAAGTTTGCCTCATTTTCTCTTTGGGCTGCTCTCACAGCACTAACTCCATGGCTCTGGGCCTTGAGGGACATTTTGGATGAGGTACATGCTCTGGCTACGGAGACATCCTGCCCTCTGAGACGGAAAACAATGATGATAAAGAATGGCCTATCCCTCCCCAAACTACTTCCACCTCTGTGGCTAGGCTGTACCCTAGAGGCATAACCACACCTTTCTGACAGATCCCCCTGGGCCTAGGACAGATGGGCTCTATCAGAAGAAGCTGAGAAGGCCTCTGGAGAAGTTCACCATGTGGACAGGCTGTGACATCCAATGAAGACGCCAGAGGTTCCTGATTGAAAGCAGGACCCACTCATGGAAAGACATGATCCACTGGAATACTCATAAGGAATGACTCCTATGAACCATGTATGACAACGAAACATGCAAATAAAGCATTCCCTCCTAAAGGAGAAATTCCCATTATTGGGGTGGTCAGGTGCATGTGCCCCCAAAAAGGACTCTGTGGTTCTATGGCCTGCAAACTAAGTGTGTTATATGTGGAATGGACTGTCCTCTGGCAAGAGAAGGGCCAGTGGAGGTCAGAGCTCCTGGGCCAGAGGCAGGGCCCAGTCACAACTTCTCAACTAGAAACTCAAAATTGATGGAGTCGGCATGAGCACATACAGGACATTGGCCACGACCTAGATAGACAGTGAGGTCTCCACCAGCAACCTCACGATGTCTGCTTCAAAGTACATAATGTGGGACAGCACCTCACTCCCCTCTAACACTGAGAACCTGAAGTGACTGCTGGCATCGAGGACCTGAGTATGGGCCCATGTCTACGCTCACCTCCGTGGACCTCCCTGTGTAGATCTTGAACAGAGACTTTGACCAGGAACATCAGCGATCTGCCCCCATCAGATCCCTGCGGTCTCCAGGGTGTCTGTTTGAAAGCAGTTAAGAATCTGGACATTTGCTCCATCCCCTCTCTACCAGGTAAAGACAGAAGGATCCCATTCTCCTGGGTTAATCTCCATTTGATTTGGCACTTAGCGGCTTCTCCAGGCACCTGAAGGCCTCTACTAGGGAAACTAGAACTGTTTCCTGTACAGGATATTTTTTACAATGGGTAATTTTCAACTCATAACACACGTAAACTAATGACTTCTCAAGTCTTTTGTGAAAAATCTCCAAAACTATTCTCCAAAGATGATTCCTGCTGTGTGAATGGATTTTGCTGAGATCATTACAGGATATGAGGGCCATGGTTGTGGTCCACTGTGACACTGGGACCTTGGCTCTAACTTCATCATGTCAGCTTCAAAGTCAAGGGTGTATCTGGACCACATGCATGCTCCTGGGATCAAAAAGATGAAGAGGACAGAAGGCAATGTCACATGCATCCTCCAAACAGCAAGGAAACTGAATACCTGCTCACATATCTTATTACTACCCTTTGTACCCTCCAGGTGCCAGGATAGACAGACTATGATGCTGGATCTTTAGTAAGAAGATTGTCCCGAGCATAGGCGCTGACCCAACCTGGGGACACGACTGGTGACCATGACCGGAGTAGCCTTCCAACTTCAGGACAATAGTCATAGAGAGTGGGAAGGACAAAGCAGGACACATGTGGACAGTTGCAAATACAATGACTTCCTGGATCCCAAGAGGCACAACTAAGTGTTTCTGACAGTTCTCCTTTGGCCTAGGACAGGGTGGGTGGGCTCCTTTGGAAGAGGCTGAGATGGCTTCTGGGGAATCCATCTTCTGCACAGGCTGTAACACCTACTGCAGATGACTGAAGTTCTGGTTAGAAGTCAGACACTCTTATGGAAAGAGGCTCTTCACTGGAGTCCTCATGAGGAATGACTATGAACCATGCACAAAAATAAAACATGTAAATAAAGCATTCTTCCCTTAAAAAGAAAAAGAGATAGTGTCAGGAATGCCAGCTTTTAGAATGAGATGGGAAATAACTAAGGACAGTAAAAAGGATTTTTAAAAGCTACATTAACCAGTCATATGAAAAAATGCTCTAAATTGCCAATAATTGGAGAAATGCAAATTAAAGCAACATGGAGGTTCAACAAAATAGGAAAATGACAAATATTGGAGGGGCTGTAGGAAAACTGGACACCAGTGCACTGTCAGTGGACACTCTGAATTGGCCTGGTCATTCTAGAAAGCAATTTGAACAATGCCCAGAAAATTATCAAACTGCGTATCATCTGACTCAGTTATGTCACTACTAGGCCTATACCCTCAAAAAAAAAAAATCAAAGAAAGAGGAAAAGATCTATACAAAATTTGTACAAAAATATTTATAGTAGTTCTTTCTATGGTAGCTAAAAATTGGAAACTGAGGGACTGTCCTATTGGAGAATGACTTAACAAACTATGGCATATGAACTGTGAAAAATGATTTTTCTTAATAATCCTTATCTTGGAAACTCAGAGCTTCCCTATCCCCTTCTCTTTCTAAATTCAGTCCTTCTTCAGAAGGACATTAAGATGTAATCTAAATGGGTCTATTCCTGCTCATTATGTCGCCTAGACAGGTCTGGGAGAATGTTGATTCCTCCCTATTGTCAAGACAGGTGATATGGAAATTAATGTCTCTTTGACCAGGACTGAATGATGGGGGTCATGTACTGAAAAACTCTCATTTTAATATGGGCCACCTCTCAGAGTTGATTGACTTCCCTTGGGAACACCTACTCTTTGAAGGGCATATAAGGCTGTACCCCCAAAATCCAATTTGAGCCAGTTCTGAACTGGCCACCTTCGGCGGGCCCAGTTTTAGACTGAACTCCCATGCCATGCATGTCAAACCAGAATGAGAGAAATTAAACAGTGGACACATGTACCCTAATTTTGTTTCTTTCGGGGCTCATAGTATATACTAGAATATTACTATGCCATAAAAAATGATGAAATAGAAAGATCTTTGTGAACTGTTGCAGAGTGAAGTGAGCAGAATTAGGAGAACAATTTATACAATGATAACATCATGGAGAAAAACTACTCTGAAAGATTTTAAAACTCTGAATAACACCTTGATAAATATGTCCAAAAGAAGGAAGATAAAACATGTCACTTACCTCCTAAAAAAGGCGATGAACTTATAATGCAGAGACATCCATTTTTAGACATGGCTAATGTGGAAATTTGTTTTCCTGGACTATGCAGCTATGTATTGAGGGCTTTTTTTTTTGTTTTTAATTTAATCAATAGAGCATGGAGATGCTCGTTAACACAGGAAATAAAAATAATAAACTTAAAAATAGCTATATTGGAGGAAAGAGAAGAATTAAAGAAAGAATAAGATCATTGTTTAGTATGGATAGGGATAATGAATAGACAACAGAGAGAAAGCAAAGCTGATTGACTCGTTCTTTTTCCTGACAAGGAGAACGATTATTGAACTTGGACTGGAAAGACCAGACAAAAATATAGGAGTTGGGGAAGCTAGGTGGCTCAGTGGATAGAGCTCCAGCCTTAGAGTCAGGAGGACCTGAGTTCAAATGTGACCTCAGACACTTGATACTTACTAGCTGTGTGACCCTAAGCAAGTCACTTAACCCCACTACCTCACCAAAAAGAATATATAAATATATATATACTATATATATCTTAAAATAACTAAGAAAGTGATCACTCAAAAATATTGAGCTATCTTTCCTGAGTTACCCTGATCAAGCTCAATAAATTGTATCTCAGGATACTGAAAGAACAGACAGATGTGATTGCTGAATTACTCTTCAAGATCTTTAAAAGCCACCAGAGTGGCTGCAAGGAACGTTCAGATTCCATCAAAGGATGAAAGAGAATGAAGTCTGCAAACCATGGTCTGACAATAAAACACTAAGTTTGCAAATTCTAGGTTTTATGCAAATTCTAGGGTTAAATCAAGAGATCAGTTAACATCTTAAAAAGGAAACAGTATTCTAGCATGACTTCGTCAAGAACAGGTCATGCTGGATTAATAATAATAGCTAACACTTACATGGCACTTATTATGTGCCTGGAACCGGGCAAAGAGCTTTACAAATGTTATCTCTTTTGATCCTCATAACAACCCTGGGAGGTAGATTCTACTATCATTTTCATTTTACAGAGAAGGAAACTGAGGAAGACAGAGGTTAAATGACTTGCCCAGGGTCACACAGCTAGTATTTGAGGTCACATTTGAACTCACTGTATTCTTGTTTTTTGCTTTTTTTGTTTTGGTGAGGCAATCGGGGTCACAACAGCTAGAACTCGCTATACTTTTGACTCCAGATCGGATCCTCTCTACCGTGCCACCGAGGTGCCTCTGATTAACGCTCGTTTTGTTGGGGTTTGTTTGTTTTTACAGTCATTGGACTGGTAGATCTGGAAGAAGATAAGAAGTCCAACAGGCTGAGACAGGGATGGAACCTGTAGACAGGACGACGCATCCGAGGTAGCTCCTGCTGTGGGACGAGAACTGCGGCTGTTTGTGGAGATGCCCTAGCCGTCGGTCCCAGGGAGTGCGGGTCGAAGACGATTGGACGGTGGGGCGTCAGGACGCCAGTCTCTGTAGGAAGCCGTCGTGAGGGCCTGCTCAGGTCTGAACTTTTTTCCTTCTCTAGCCTTTGATTTGCAGCCATGCTTATTATGGGCCCTTAAATCTTTCTTTAAACCCAAAGACTAAAATTCGGCGGGACCTGCAGGAGGAGAGTAGGAAAGAGAAAAGACCAGAGAAAAAAAAACACAACAAGAGAGAAACAGAAGAGGGAGAGACAGAGAAATAGAGAGAGGCAGAAAGAGAGAGAGCAAGAGAGAGAGAGAGGGAGAGAAACAGGGAGGGACAGAGAAAGAGGGGAGAGAAGAGAAAAGAGGAGACAGGAGGAGACAGAAAAACAGAAAAGAGACAGACGCACAGAGAGAAATAGTCCCTCCCAATTATACGGGACCTTTAACCTCCTAGAGCGGGGGTCGTTAACCTCTCTGGAGAGATCCCAGAGCACAAGTCGGGGGAGGGACCCAAGCAGGGACAGTTGTGGGTGGGGGGACGGGATGAGATTTCTCTCTTCTGAAGTAATCGAGTCGTTACCTCGTTAAAGTTCTCTGTGTCTTGGCCTGTTGAGGTAACTTCAATTTCATTTCCTCTTGCATCTAATTCTTATCTGGGGGAATTGTGAGAGTTTTTGAGGACTGGAGAAAATGTCTGGTCTAGTCCTCCGTCTTGTTGGTCATGTGACCTGTGCCTACGCACGTTCTCTTCCTCCCTTCTCCCTCCCTTCCTCTATATCTCTTCTCCTCCTCCTTTCCTCGCCACCTCTGTCTCCCTCTCGTCCCTCCCCCCACTCTCCTTGTCTCTCTCCCCTCCCTCCCTCCATCTCTCTCCCCCTTCCACCCACTCCCTCCCTCCATCTCTGTCTCCCCTTCACTCTCCTTGTCTCTCTCCCCTCCCTCCCTCTCTCCCCTCCCTCTGCCTCTTTCTCTCCCCACTCCCCTCCTTCCCTCCATCTCTCTCCCCCTTCCACCCACTCTCTCTCTCCTTCCCCCCACTCTCTCCCTCCTTCCCTCTGTCTCTCCCCCACTCTCCTTGTCTCTCTCCCCTCCCTCCCTCTCTTTCTGTCTCCCCCACCTTTCTGTGTCTCTCTTCCCTCTGCCCCCTCTCCCTCTCTCCCCCCTCTCCTTGTGCCTCTCTTTCTCTATTTCTCTCCTACCCCTCCTGTCTCTGACTCTGTCTCTCAGTCTCTCTTTCTCCCTCCCTCATTCCTCTCCCTCCCCCCTTCTGTCTCTCTCCTGATCCCCTTCTGATTTCTTTGTGTTATTGAGAGCCTTGAGCTTGGCTGAAAGACACCTTTACACCCCTGCACGTTATGGGGAGCTTGGGCCCTAGCCCTGCAGTAGGCCTCAGCTCTGTGAGAAATTGGGAGGCTTCCAGAGACATGATGTTAGGGCTGGGGCCTGAGCATCCCATCACACAGAACCTGGTACCTCATTTTGCAAGCCTAGGAATCTAGAGATTATCGTTGTTATGGCAACCCAACAGCAGCCGATATTCACTACAGCTTCTACGTTGCATTTTCTGAGGTTTATTTTTAATCCAGTTAGTGTCTGAAGGCCATGGATCCTTGGGACTGACTGATCTGGCCTGGGATCTTTAGCAAGGGACAGATTCTGGCCTATCCTGGGGAATCATATCCCTCTCCACCTTTTCTCCCTTCCCTTCTCATGCTGCCAGACAGGAGGAAGGGAGAGGGGTGGGGTAAGAAAGTGGCCATTCCCCATACTCCAGGATCTAAGGTGCTGCAGAATCAGAGCCCAAGCCTCAGCTGGGTGGTTATGATGAAATGGTGCCTTGGAGTTAGTGTCAGAGAATGTGGGTTCGTATCCTGGCTCTGTCCCTTATCATCTGTATTATCTGTATATTTAGCCTTTCTGGGTCACAGTTCTCCATCTTTCAATTGATGATGCTAGAATAGTTGAATCTGTAAGGCCTCTTATAGCCCTAAATTGTATGATCTTATGTACAGGTAGGTGTCACAGTGGATAGAGTGCCTGGCCTAGAGTCAGGAAGACCTGACTTCAAATCTAGCCTCAGACACGCACTAGCTGTGTGACCCTGGGCAGGTCACTTGTTTGCCTCGGTTTCCTCATCTGTAAAGTGGCAAACCACTCCAGTATCTTTGCCAAGAAAATCCCCCCAAAAAGAGTTAACGGAGAGTTAGAAGCGACTGAAAATGACTAACCTTGGTCACTGTTCTCCGAGCTTTGAGTACTAAGGGAACCCTTCGCTGGGGAATCTGGAAAGGGACAGGGGGCAGAATGGTCTTGGTAGAGACGGGGATAGGAATATGAACACACATATGACCCACAGGAAAGAGCTTCTATTGGACATCTATTCCATTCTTATTTGGAGGGGACAACAGGGAAGCAGAATGAAAGAGAAGGAAGACCTTTGCAAAATGTCTTATCTCTTTCTCTTGCTCACATAGCTCTCATATGGGTTACTACATTAGCCTCCTGATTTGTCTCCCAGCCTCCATGATCACTTTTCTCCAACCCTTATTCCATATAGTGTTACTCCCCTGCTCAAGAAGCTCTAATGAGTCCTACTTACACCAAATCCTTCACAATCTAGCTCAAGCCTACCCTTTCCATACTTTTAACACATTATTCTCTTTCATTCATTCTTCATTACAGCCAAACAGTCCAGCGATGATATTTTCCATCTATGACATCCTACCATCTGTCTTTGTGCTTTTTCACAGGCTTTCACACAGGCCTAGGACCCAACTCCTGTTCACTTCACTTCAAAGCTCGGCTCAGATGTCAACTTCAGGAAGCCTATTCTAATCCCCTCACTGGCTAGTGCAAATATATAATTTGCATTTAATTTTCTGTGTACATGCTGTTCTCCCCTGCCCTTTCTCGACCTTCCCCTGTCAAGGTTTTTAAAGGTAGGGACTATTTTGTTATTGTCTTTGTGCCCCCAGCATCTAGCAAAGTGCTTAATACTAAGTGCTTAATAAATGCTCCTAGGATAAATATTTAATAAAGGGTTACCAGCCTGTCAGTCTTCTCCACCTGCATTCTGTGATTTGCATAGACCATAATTGGGACCATAGAAGTAGAAAGGAGCTGAAAGGATTTCTTTTTTACTCTAGGTCACATAAGAGTTTAGATTGAAAGGGCCCAGCAGCAGGAGAGAAGGAGCTCAAAAGACAAATGCTTTAGGGCTTTTCTAGCTGTCACGCTGGCTGCTGCTGGCTATACTTTGAATCTCAGAAAAATAACAGACTGCTCTGAGCTTTTCAGAGCTGAGCCCCAGCAGTGGCTGTTGTTGCTCAGTGAAGAGACAGAGATTGGTCAGCAAGGCCCTCCATAGTGAGGACCCATTAGAGAGAAGCATGGTAATACCATCAGAGGACATGGCAGCTCTGCAGCATAGGAGGCATGAGTTGTCCCAGCCAAGAACATTGCCTGTGAGTATGTGCTCCCCCGTTGTCAGTATGTGGTAAACTGTGGAAGAGTGTAACTGATATGGGAGGAGGGGGCAGAATCTTTCTTGTCACTAATTGCTAAGGTGTTTTGTTTTGTTTTGGTTTTGGTTTTTTTTTTTTTAAGGCAGTTGGGGTTAAGTGACTTGCCCAGGGTCACACAGCTAGTAAGTGTCAAATGTTTGGTCTGAGGTTAGATTTGAACTCAGGTCCTCCTGACTCCAGGGCAGGTGCTGTATCCACTACACAGTAATTGCTAAGGTATTTGATTAAATCTCTTTTGCATTGAACTCTGCCTTCTGGTTTGTGTAATAAGAAAAGACACGAGGGCAGCTAGGTGGCCCGGTGGATAGAGCACTGGCCATGGAGTCAGGAGGATCTGAGTTCAAATCCAGCCTCAGACACATGATACTCTCTAGCTGTGTGACCCTGAGCAGGTCACTTAACCCCAATTGCCTCACCAAAAAAAAAAAAAAGACACATCCATAAGGGCTTGTGAGATATGATTTTAAGTGGATGCTATTAACAGGATTTTTGCTGAGCCAGTCTCTAACCTGAGAATTCTTGGAGCCTCACAAAGCAGGCCTAGAGATGGGAATGCCAGTAATCAAGTAGGTTAATTAATCAATTTCAGAGTGAGGAGCATTCTTTTAGCTAAAGTAAAAGCACAGGTTAAATCACAACTGGGGAAGGAGCTCAGGAAGGTGGATTACAATAATCATTTGGTGGTTTCCCATGAGAAACTCGTAAGTCCCACAATACAACAACTCTGGAGTCCAGTCTTTGGGGGTTGTGACCACCTTCCCTAAAGTATAGAACCGGAGTTCTGTGACGGGAACAGGTTCGATTTGCTTCACTTAAGGTCCAGTGATTTTGAGCATTGTCAGAGTTTTGATTAATCAGTTTAAGTTGCATTGTGAGCTCTGACTCCCAAGCCAGAGAGGCAGCTCTTGAGAAAACTCAATTACTAGTATATTCATTACACATATCATACTGATTAATATGGAAATTATAAATTCCTTTCTCACGCCCTCCTTTTGGCCAAAAAGGCCGGAACAACCCTTGAAGGCTGATGAGGAACATTCATTTGAAACATGGTTTTGAAAAATTTCTTGATTATAGAAATTTACTGTAAAAGGGAAAAAAAGGACATAGTTATATAACAGGGGAAGAACTCCCTTAACTCTGTTTGATTCCAGACAGAAGTCATATTTGACAGTCAATCATGTAGTTACAGAGTGTTAAAGCAAGGCACAGGATTAATCAGGTGGGAATTTTCCTTTTCCAGAAAGGAAATAACACAATGGGGAGGTAAAGTCAGGCGGATCCTATCTAGGCTGTGTCCTAAATTGTCCTCACAAGCTTTTCCAGGAGCAGACATCCATCTTAGCAGTCCTCAGACTGTTGCACATGCCATTTTTCTCTTATTGGCTTTGTGACAATTTAGACAACTATTCCTGGAATCGAAGCTCAACACTAATTACAGTCTCAGGAATTTTTACCTTAAATAGCAAAATTTTCAGTAATCACAACTTAAGGAGATAAGTACAACATAAAAGTGAAAGAAAAAAAATCTGCTACTTCCATGAATATTAAGAGATTGAGGGGACAGT